TTATATTTTATTTTATTAACATATAAAAATACAAAATCTATAAAATATAGTATGTTAGATGCCCTAGAAATAAAAAGGTTTAGTTTGTTCATTTTTTTTAATTTAAGAAAAGTAATCTCCTTCAGTCTCCATAAAAAACAAAACCAACAGAGGAAAATGAAATTAAAATAAAAAAATGTGCAATTTTAAAAATTACTTAATTGGCTAAAAATTTCTAAGGCCTAGTAAAACAGAGCTGGGAATCATTTCCTAAATAGGTTCAAACAACCTGCTTGGAATGGTCTCTGGTGGAGGTTATGCCTTGAATCACACTTGGGCACTTATTTGAAATGTGCTAGCTGCCATAGGCCAAAAGCCCATGCATGCTAACAATTAAACTGTAGATGACTGGCAGGCTCGTGCTTAGCATTATTCCCTGAGCCTTTTTTATGTGACAATACAGATGCCCAGGTTCACAGGCCAGGTGGACCCTTGTTGAAATCAGCAGTGACACCATATGAGCCCTGGAGCCCTCTGCTAGGCCAATGCCTTTGGCTGGCTGCTAACCTGGAACCTGTACAAAGCAAAGATTCTGTGCACGTTTCTTCAGTTTGGGATTAGTGAGGACTTATCAGAAACTGATGCAACCGCGGGTTTCAAATGTTGCTTGGGGTAGTCTGCAGCAGTTGCTAATTTCAACTGACACAGTTGGTTTACCTTGGTATAAAAGAACATGGTCTTTTGCTAGGCAGAGGTTTCTCCCAATAATGCTCACAGAAAGTCTACCCAATAGGACTTTTTTGAATTTTAAACCAAGAAAAACTTACCTGTGAGAAAAAAAGATTCCTCTACGTAGAAAGCGGTGAGGTTTCTGCCCAATAGCTCTTTCTATTCGATTGATCAGATCTGTGTCAATTTTATTGCTGCCAAACCGAACTATAATCATAAAATGTTAAAAAAAAGAAAAAAAAAAAGAAGAAAAAAAAAGAATAAGCGTAGCATAGCTACAACCAGATCTTGGATTACCAAGAACATACCAATGCAGCCTAGATTAAAAAGGACACCTCCTTCTTCAAGTCTCAGGTAAAATGGCTAGATTTTCCCGATTTTTCCCCTGAAGTCCCAGCAGTCACCTCACTCTATGCTAGGAGGCCCAGTTTACTCACAGCATGTAGTATTGCTCCATCCATAACTGCAGTCTCCTCATAGCAGGAGTACCGATACTCAGAACAAAAAACATTCCAAAGAAATGTATTTATAACTTGGTCTCTGTAAGCCACAGGATAAAAATGGCTGTGACGTTCCGAGTGTTTCTCTCTTGACGTCTAAATCTTCTGCCCTCAGATCGGATGGTTTTTCACTTTCCAACCCCAAATACTCTTCTGCAAACTTAACTCGTCTTTTATATGGGTATGATTACAGACACTGCACCCCTCAAGAGGCTTGAAAAGGTAACGCATAATATACTTCATGGCAATCAAGTAAGACTTATCACTTCGTGGTTTAGGAAATCAGCCAATTAATAAAACAACATTTTCAGATGTAGTAATTTCATTCAAAAAATGTTTTGACAGAGTGAAATAGCAGTATTTTTTTCCTATTCCAAATAAAACTGAACTAGGGAAGTCTTTTATTCCTTCAGTAAAGCTTCCTATACTCCAGTCCCAATTCTTGGACCCTAATAAGCAGGTCAATGCTCCATGATTCGGACTCAATCGAAAGAATTTAGACAGGAACATACTCTTTGCTACTCTTCTGCTCAATTCAACATTAGAACAACTTGCACTATTATTGGAAATGCCAAAGTATTCAAGAGAACAAAACAGAGACTCTGGATGTAAAGATATATTTTAGATATATGAAATATCTAGATCCATCTATTCCAACTGTCTTATTAAAGAGAGACTACACTGGCAAATTCCATGGTTATAACATGTATGTCCACATGGGAGAACCATTTCAGGTCTTCCTAGCTGTAACACGAAATAATCATTCCACACGAACATATCGCTGACTTTGAAATTAGTTAAGTGTCAGCGATATGTTCGTGTGGCATAGTTTCCTAAGGCAACTATAAACAAAAAACCTAATTTCAAACCATTAATTATGCAGCTATCAAGCTATGACTTACATGAATACTATACTTCTGCACTGTGGAAAACACAACAATGTCTTTGAACGCCCCACATAGGATCAGGTTTACTTTGAATTCCCTCCTTATGCATGCTCCTGATTCTAAATTTTCAATTTCTTTTTTAAGCCAAAAGCAAGTGACATTAAAAGCCTTCCTGCAGGAATATCGTAATTATCTGAAATGTCTTTCCAAAGTCTACAACGTTCTACCAGAGCAGGTAGGCTTCTAATGTTACATCCTAGCACACGGTAACGATCCTTAGCTGGACAGCGTAACAGCTTACACCACTGGACAACAGAGAGACTGATTCCAGCTGGAGGCAGAAGCTTTCTACCTGTGCCAGTCACCCGATGTACTGCCTTGGCTATGCAATTCATTTTACAAAGAAAATTAACCTGCAGGGGCAGCAAGAAATATTAAATACACTGGTGTAATTCAAAAAGCCAAATATTCAGACACTCTGGGCTTATTATACTAGACTAGACTAATTTCTTCTCCAGAAATGGGAAAGAGGCCTTCCATCCATTTACTGCACAGGTGCTCGAAGCACAGCATGGAGGCTATTTTTTGTCCATCAAGGCTTTGCATATATCTCAAAAAAGGCTATTTAAGCCCATGGCCATCCTAATCATTGAGTCTGTGGTGCTCTCAAGGGATGGGATAGAAGAGTCAGACCAACGTGTACCCTGGAGCACCAGGATGCTGAGAAGCCCTGAGTACAGCGACTTCCCCTCCTACAGTCTGGCTGAAAACAGGGATGGTGTTTAAGTTTGTCATGTGAACTGTTTTTTCGTTTTTTTTAATATGAACTATTCACTGAACAGCCTTTCATAAACAAAAATCAGGAACCTCCACTGAAAGAAAAACTCAATCTTGACAGGAAAGAAGAGTGGTAATGATTCGAGCATCAACTTGGAGATAAGCATTTCTGCTCTTCCAGACTCTCTATACCCATTTTATTTTCTTCTAGAATTATTGGTTATGCACAGCATTACTACAAGGCTTTGTATATAGCCATTAAACTTGAAGTAGTAGGAACGAATTACTAAATTGGAGGGAAGACTAGGCATACTATTATAAATGGTTTGGGTTGGAAGGGATCTTTAAAGGCCATCTAGCCCAACCCCCCTGCAGTGAGCAGGGACATCTTCAACTAGATCAGGTTGCTCAGAGCCCTGTCCAGCCCCACCTTGAATGGTTCCAGGGATGAGGCATCTATCACCTCTCTGTGCAACCTGTGCCAGTGTTTCATCACCCTCAGGGTAAAAAATTTCTTCCTTTTATCTAGTCTAAATCTACCCTCTTTTGGTTTAAAACCATTACCCCTTGGCCTGTTGCAACAGGCCCCGCTAAAAAGTCCCTCCCCACCTTTCCTGTAGGCCCCCTTTAAGCACTGGAAGGCCGCTGTAAGGTCTCCCTGGAGCCTTCTCTTCTCCAGGCTGAACAACCCCACCTCTCAGCCTGTCCTCCCAAGGAAGGTGCTCCAGCCCCCCGAACATTTTTGTGGCCCTCCTCTGGACCCGCTCCAACAGGTCCATGTCTTTCCTGTGCTGAGGACTCCAGAGCTGCACACAGCATTGCAGGCGGGGTCTCACCAGAGTGGAGTAGAGGGGGAGCATCCCCTCCCTCGACCTGCTGGCCACACTTCTTTTGACGTGGCTCAGAATATAGTTGGCTTTCTGGTCTGCGAGTGCACATTGCTGGCTTGTGTCCAGCTTTTCACCATTAGCACTCCCAAGTCCTTCTCCATAGGGCTGCTGCTCTCAATCCCCTCATCTTCCAGCCTGTATTGATATCGGGGATTGCCTCAACCCAGGTGCAGGACCTTGCACTTGGCCTTGTTGAACTTCATGAGGTTCACGTGGGCCCACTTCTCAAGCTTGTCCAGGTCCCTCTGGACGCATCCCTCTGGATGGCATCCCATCCCTCATGCATGTCAACTGCATCACTCAGCTTGGTGTCCGCACCATTATCCAATAGAAGACAAGTTCCTCCTTACAGTTGCTCATTCACTCCGGGTGAATCAAGCAGGATATTATACAAGGGAAGCACTGGGCCCATCCACTGACCCATCAGAATAAATGTCACTATGAAGACGAATGCTGGTACACGATTCAGCAAACACTGCTTTAGTCTGTATGTTTTCCAAGTGTTATTGCATCTGCTTGTCCTAAGCAAACCTTAATTACTGAATTAATTTCTTCCTAGCAAATAAAATGCATTACAAAATGACAAAGTAATCTGGATGAATACAAAAAGAGACCAAATGAACATGAAAACATTTCATTCAGGAGAACAATAGCAACTGGTAAGAGGCTAATCTTACAGAAACAGAATACATGAAAATGCCCCACATTAATTGGGGCCAGCCGCTCTAGAAATATTTGTTTACTGCCACAGAAAATTATTAAAAGCGCTCTGATATATAGAACACTTCACTGGAAATGCCTAAATAGCTTTATTAAACATTCACAGACTGCACAACTTCCTTTCTTTGCCCATCTTCATCTTTCTTGTTAAAAAATTGGATAATTTTTCCCTACCTATTCCCTCTTATGAGGATGTTCAAAACATTTTAGGCTCTATCTACAAAGAATCTGCCTTCCTAAAGAGCTTCTGACAAGGGCACACTCTTCTCTCCTTAATAAGCTTTAAAAAAATTCCTAGCATGCTTTTGATCTGTAGCGTTCTGGCTTTCACAAAAAGACAGCTTTCAACTCACTGTACATAAGAAGCCCTGAGAGCTGCCCTTTTCAAAAGCGTACTTGCATTTGCTGAAAATTTATTACGCACTTTTCCTCTTTGCCATTGCCATGTTATAATTGCATACAGAAAACTAATAACCTACTACTTGTTATGCAGCAACTTTACTGACCAGGTCAGTCTCAATAACCTTTGAACAGTCATGACAACTGGGTGAGGTTCCTGGGAGCTAGAAGAATGCAAATATCACTCCTACCTTGAGGAAGGGCAAGAAGAAGGAACTGTGGAACTACACGCTGGCCAGCCTCACCTCAACCTCTGGGTATATGACGGAGCAAATAATCCTGTAAACCAGTCCCAAACACTATTAAAGACTTGAAGGTGACTGGGAGTAGCCAGCATGGATTTATGAATGGGAAATCATGCCAAACCAACTTAATAGCCTTCTATGATGATATAACCAGCCTAGTAGATTAGGCAAGAACAATGGATATTGTTTATCTCAACTTTAGCAAGCCTTTTGACACCATCTCCCATCTCATTCTCACAGACAACTGATGAAGTCTGGACTAGATAAGCAGACAGTAAGGTGAACCGAAAACTGGCTAAACTGCCAAGCTCAAAGGGTTGTGACCAGCAGCACGAAGTCCAGCTGGAGCCCAACATTATTTGTGTACCCCAGGGGGTTGATATTGGGGCCAATACTGTTTAACATCTTCATTAATGATGTGGATGATGGGACAGAGTACACCCTCAGCAAGTTTGCAGATGAAACAATACTAGGAGTGGTAGCTGATACAACTTATGGTTGTGTTGCCATTCAGACAGACTCCAGCAGGCTGGAGAAATGGGCTGACAAGAATCTCACCACGTTCAACAAAAGGGAATGCAAAGTCCTGAATCTGGGGAGAAAAAACTCCATACCCTGGTACAGGCAGGGGGCCAACTGTCTGGAAAGCAGCTTGGCAGAGAAGGACCTTGGGGTCCTAGGGTCCTGATAGACAAGGAACTGAGCATAAGCCAGCAATGCACTTCTGTGGCATTGGAAGGCCAATGGCCTTATGGGCTGCATTAGGAACAGCACTGCCAGAACATCAAGGGAGGCAATCCTTCCCTTCTACTCAGCACTGATGAGACATCTGGAGCATGGGTCCAGTTCTGGGTTCCAGCATAAGGAGGACATGGACATACTAAAGCGAATCTGCAAAGGGCCATGAAGATGAAGGACTTAGGGCATCTGTCACGTGAGAGGTTGAGAGAGCTGGGATTGCTGAGCTTGGGGGGATCTCATCAATGTGTATAAATATGTGATCAGGGAGATGGAGGGGAGTGAAGAAGATGGCACCAGAGGCAATGGGCACAATTTGAAATAAAGGAAATTCCACTTAAACATACAATACCCCTTCATATTGTTCACATAGTCAAGTATTGGAACAGGTTACCCAGAAAGGTCATAGGATCTCCATCCCTGGAGATAAGAAAAATCCTACTGGACAAGTTCCTGAGCAACCTGCTCTAGTTGACTTTGCTTTGAGGAGGGGGGTTGACTAGATGATCTGCAAAAATCCCCACCAACTTCAACCATTTTGTTTCTCTTGCAATATTCGGCCCACTGAGTTATCAGCATTGTTAGCATACGAAGTTTTTTCCTCATGCTCAAACAAACAAACAAAAATTCTGGGGATATTCATGTCTAGTACTTAGCTAACAGAACATTTCTTCCCAGAATATCCTCAGGCTGTTTTGTTGCGCAGTCATACACTTAAGCGCACGTCTAGGACAACCATTTGAGAATATCCCTTTCAATCACACAGTACTTTTAGCACTTTCATTTCTTCTGTGTTCGAGTAAACACAAGCACACTGGCAATTTTCTCTGGCACCACTAGAAAATGAACAGATTATAGGTGACACAAGAATTTCCTTTATGGTAGGAGCTATCAGATGTCAAGTTCTTGGACAATAATTTTATTATAATTTTTAAAAGGAGAAGGAAGAGCAGGAAGTTTATCAATAACAAGCAGTTACTGTTTCACTTCTTGAAGTGGCTAGGCTAGCATTCTTCACTGAAAAATTTCCAACACATCACTTAGAACAAGCCAAATGACTCATCCACCAAACTCCCCAATCTGCTAGTAGTGTAAATAACTAAAACCAGGCTAACTCACCACTCTAGGTAGGTCAAAAGGTCATACATACACAAAAAGTTACTGGAAAAAAGGGCACTGCTGTCAGGCAAACACAAAACATGACTTTAATACAAATGTTAGTCATGCTAGTCAAATGAAGTCATGGTAGTCGTTCTCAGAGAGACCTTGAGACTGTGCCAGCACAAGTATTCTACTCTTCCCACTTTTCTATAGGACTTAGAAACACCCCCAAAAAAAACCTGCTCCATAGCTCCTACAGAAGCAACAGGATGATGAGAGATGTCATCCGCTTCTAGATTCTAATGATTATCTTTTTTCCTTCTCCCCCATCAACGTATATTTTTCTTCACACACTTCTCCCTTTCCAACTTCTTCCTTCTCCTATTACCTTCTGCAGACTAAGCCAATACACACACACATCTGATATTATCTTAAAATAACATCACACAGAGTTAAAAGAATGCTGACACTAGCAACTGAGCTCCCAAAAGCAAAGACATGGTTACAGCCACAGAAGGGTATATGCTCTATTGTGAGAAACAAGCTACTAAGCAGACACCAGCAATGTACAACTGAGGTACTAAATATGAACTGAAGATTGACAGTAATGAAAAAAAAAGAAAGCAAAAATAGTAAAAATTAATGAATAGTTCTCTCACCTGTTTCTATGCTAGACTCAAACAAGCTATTAAAATAGTGGACTGTAAAACAGATAAGGAAATTAACTAAACCCCTGACAAAACTTTGCAACTTTTTTAACACTCCTGTCTAAACTGTTTTCCATTACATCGCGTGTTTTTTTTGAACGAGCTTCACCTTCTTCATCCCAGCCAGCACTTGGCTGCTTCATAGTGTGTCTTCTGAAGAAATCATTACACTTATTCTGCATTAGTATTGGTTCATCGCTGCCCTCCCTAATTTGGAAGTCAAGGCAGATGTGGAGAGATGCTAGGAAGAATCCTACAGCCTGGCCAGAATGCTCTAGGCGCCAGCTGTTATGCATCAGACACTGAAGTTGAAGATACTCAGTCACAGTGTCTTCATTACATAACTTCTAATAACAGTCCTTATGCCAAAAAACAAACTGCGAGTAAAAATTTTATTTTAAACTAAAGAGTTCTTTGCAGAGTATTTAAGTCTTGCACATGAAATCCCTGCCTGGGACATTTTCAACTCCTACAACAAATTCTTTAGACATGCAAATGCTAAGATTAGACAGAAATGAAATGTTACCTATGATGGCTTTGATCAGGATTTGTTATGATCCCTTGCTGGTTTTGTGGTCATTAGGATCACTTTACATAAATTCCTTAGTAGCATTGAAGAAAGAGTTATACCTATGAGTTTGTCATAATCCACGCCTTTTGCATTTGATGTCTGCACAGTCCAGGGGTCCACAAAATCCTCGTCCTCTTCTTTAGCTGTACCATTGTTTATTAGTAGAAGATCTCTTGGAGGCAAGCCTGCCTGATAATCTTGTCCTGTTGTTGTTTTATATGACAGTTTTAATGATAATAGCATCCTCACTGCTGCATCAATTTCATCCTGAATAAAGGAAAAAAAAACTGTTTGACTTAACATACTTAAGACAGACAATTAGATTAATGTCCTAACTTTTCAAAATCCTGCATCCATGCTTTGACTTGAATTGCATTATTCAAAAACCTCTAAGCCTTTATTTATATGTTTGCAGCATCACTGCCAAAAAATAAAAGAAAAGCAAATAGCAGGTAACCGTTTCCTAATTGGCAGAACTTAAAGCATCATCATTGCCAAGATATTTAAAGCACCTCTGTCTCACTTTTCAATTTCTGCCCGAGGGGGAAAAAAGAAATGCTTGCCTACTTTTCAGAGGTATAACTAGCTTAACATTTTAAACACCAATTTCTAAGATATATAAATATAATATAAATTATTGTATAATTTACACTGCTTTCAGTGGCTCACCTTAAAATAATTTATTTATTACAATTCTTTTACAGACTTAAAGACAAACTACAACAAAAAGTTCTTCACGACTTTCATGGTTATGACTTTTTTTAATACAAAGCTATTGTAACATCTCACGTAAGCAATAAATACATCAACACTTTATTCAACTCCCAGTTTTCAAGGCTTACTCCCACAAGCAATACACTAAGACAGCCCATATTAAAACTGAGCTCACTTTGCCAACATAGCTATGACAGAATAGGAAACTTGAAATTAATGGTAAATTACTAAATCACTTAAGGGAGATTAATCAGGGACTGTCAGTACAGTAATAGGAAGACATATTTGCTAATGTGTACAATAATGTATGGAGAAAAAATATTTCAATGAAGCATCTAAAACCAGGGAAGAACGCAAGTGATATAAATTTTACTTGAAAACCGAATACCTTCGATCTTGTCACATAGCATGGCTGAAGCAGACGTCTAAGCCTATGACTCTGGTCTTACTTCAGGAGTAAAAACTTTATACTCTTGCTAGTGACTACCTTGCTCCAGGTATGTCCACAGTTCACAAAATGGACAAATATTTCTTAGCAAGGTTTTTTTCTTACTGCAATACAAAATAGATCTCAGAACAATCATATTCTTCAGTGCTTTTAAAGATAGGTCTAATTTGAAAAAGGATGGGTTCAAAACATGAAATGGCAATACCTTTGGTGCTTTTCCTGCTTTCAGTGCTCTGACTTTCTCTCCTTGTTCAGTTACTCTTTCAAACAGCTGAAGCGGACTCAGAGATTTCAAATCACAGTTCGGACTGTCAGCCATTTTGCCAGACTGCGAAAGATCAGTTTATTTACAATTCAACTAAATTTAATGTCTTCCAGTTCTTCGGCTTGTAGATGCAAAACAGCAGCAGTAACAAGGAGAACTGTAGGGCAAAAAAGAGTGTGTTTGATTCTTTCATGTGTATCTTGAAGATCAGACGAGCAGAATAAGAATATAAAACCTATACTGACCCCATACCTAATTCTATTCATATCAGATTGATAAATGTGGAGACAACACAATGAGCTTCAGTTTCATACAGGAATGGACTGAGGCTGACAAGAGTACCAAATAAATTTAGAGATCACTCTTAATGTTGTTTCTCTATGTATTTAACACTAGAACACCTTTGCAAAGTCAAACTCCTGACAAAAGTAAAAGTAATTAAATATACGTACAATTCAGAACATCTCAGAACCTTGGTTGAGGTTATCTGATTCCTGATGAGTTACTGTTTTTGCACTACTTGATAGCCCATCAAATTCTGAATGACAGTGAGATTTTTCTAGCTAGCATACAGAATTTTGTCCTAATATATGTAATACAGTACTTCAGCCCAAGGAAAGATATACAAGAGAAAAGGTTAGTCACCTTCTTCACTGCTTACCTCCAGAGGTTATGAAACACACCGATGATCAGTAAGAAATACTGCTTCCTAAAGAACAAATCAATCCTTGGGTATACAATAGCCTGTAAATTTAAGGAACTATTTGTTTCTCAGCAGTACGTTGGAAAAAGGACCCTAGAAGATGGCTTAAGATGATGAGGAGGCCAAGAATAATAGCACAGCTGTTCTCTTGCGTCCAACATATACCTTGATCACAGAGTGTGCCCATGCTTCCACAAACAGGCTTTTCTCCTGGGCTAACATCTATAATGTTGTGAATATTAAGGATAACATCACCTGAACGTTTCTTAGCAGTCTATTAATTAACAGCAACCAAGACTTTGGAAAACTACAACTACATAGTTTACAGTACACTAACACGGAAAGTACAGAAAGTTATAGAATGCTGTTAAAATGTTAAGTAAGCATACAGTTTCTGTTACTAAATGCATTAAAATTAATTTTCACTCTACATCAGAAATACCTTGATCTTTGTCCCATCAGTTATAACCTGAAATGCTACCAATAAGCTTTGCTGTACTTAATTTTAATGAATACATCCAACACCTCTTACCAATTTCCAAGACAGGAAACTCCTGTAACATGGACTGCCTTGAATTAACTCATACTTTACTACACATGCCTCCCATAAAGGTGGCACAGCAATTCATGGTATCCCAGCAATTTCTTAATCTAATTTTTCTAAAATTACCTGATAAATTGTCTTCAGATAATATCTGATCTAAAACTAGAGTTTTACTTATGTCTAAGAAATCCAGTGAATCTGTTATCAACCTGCCACAAGTGAAAACTCATTTCAACTGCAAAGGCAGAACTCCTTATTTTAAGAATCATTATTTTCAAAAATTATTCAAGCCTAGCAGCTCTCTGTATAAAAGAAAGAGTTCTTTAAAAGTACATATGCTCTAAGCTCTAAACAATTTTTTTGGTAAAAATTCAAGCCTGATGTTGTTTAAATATTGAGAACTAAGGATAAACACCCATTAACTTGATACGGGAAGGGAGTTTGAAAACCATTATGGTTCTGGTTATAGTTAGCTTGCAATATTTACAGAGAAGAAATTAAGTGTTCAAAATGGGTAAGGAGGACACCATCTGTCAGAAAGGCAACATTGTAAGTGAAACTGCAACTATCTCAAATGAATCCATTTGAGACGAACATACCACAATAACAAGGTACACAGAGAAACATACAGAGAAATACAAAAGTCTTTCATAAAACCTGAGGCTGTTAAAATGAGAAAACAGTGCAGATCCTAGTGATAAAAATGAACTGAGGGAAAAGTAAATTTCCCAAGAAAACTATCATTGCTACTTGGCCAGGGTTGTGAACTGCAGCCCCACAATCTGATGTGGTTGATATATGCAATCACCCCCGCTATTGTATAGAAAAGTTGTATCATCTTAATTCATAAACTGATGCTTATTTTACATGTATCCAAATGTGATAGTGACAAACACAATGCAAGTTAAAAGAGGAAATGACTTTCATACCGAGTTGCAAACAGTGGTGTGTTGGAAACACAACGTTCACACACAGCATTCACCCTAAGCATTCTCTGTCATGCTGTGTCAATGCCCGTGAAGGAGGAACTCTGTGCCCATGTAAAGCGCTACTGACTCACAAAGGATCATGTCTTTCTGGACAGACTCCCTAGCATATTAGTGATCCATTGCTATGCATGGAGCACGAATAGATTGAGTTTACAAGACACATACGTAGCTGAAGTGAATCCTAAAATGAATAAAAATACACATTCATTTGGCTCCATTTTCCCAGAATTAAAAAAGAAGAAACAAAACCATAAAATTGTTGCATTAGCTGTCCTGCAGTACTTCAAAGACTTCCTTCTACAAAATAATCAGCCTAATCACAACCTTGGTTATATTTACACAGTATATATTTAAACTGCCCTGTAAAAAGCCTTCAAGTGCCTAGAAAACTTAGGGTTGATTCGGTAGCCTGCTGGTTACCAAAACACACCTATCATTAAGGCTTTGTTTGTCAGACAGCTGCAATATTCCCAGATTTCAGCTTCAGTTGAATACCCTGAGAAGGCAGAGAAGTGTACACATCCATTTGCTAATTTAATTCACTTAGTCTATTAACACTGACCACAGAAGTGGAGAATCACAGAACGGTAGGGGTCAGAAGGGACCTCTGGAGATCATCTAGTCCAACCCCCCTGCTAAAACAGGTTCACCTACAGCAGTTTGCACAGGACAGCATCCAGGCAGGTTTTGTTTGAGTATCTCCAGGGAAGGAGACTCCACAGTCTCCCTGGGCAGCCTGTTACAGTGTTCTGTCACCCCCAGAGTAAAGAAGTTTTTCCTCATGTTGAGGTGGAACTTCCTGTGCTCCAGTTTGTGCCCGTTGCCCCTTGTCCTGTCATTGGGCACCACTGAGAAGAGCCTGGCCCTGTCCTCTTGACACCTGCCCTTTAGATACTGATAAGCATTGATAAGGTCCCCTCTCAGTCTTTTCTTTTCCAGGCATACTTAGATTACATAATTGACTAAAATAAGACTGACTGATGTATTATCAGTAATACATAAGTTTTTAACCTAATCTCGATCCCTTCAACCTTGATTATCTGCAGTTTGACAGTGTTATTTTAAAGAGGTAATTTGAAGCATATAAAACAATTCTCTGATTTATTCCTACAATTTACTTACATTCTTTTATTTGGATACTAGTGTTTTCCTCTTTTTCATAGGCACAGGATATTTAACTGGAAGAGAAAGTACATAGAGTAAATTCATACTAAAAACGTTGATGAAGATTATCACAGACCCTTTCTCTAGGGACATGGCTTCAAACTCACAAAACAGAAAGAGGTAAACAGGAAATATTCTTTGGTGTAGAACAGATTGTGACTTGGTGTTTTAATATAATTCTTGAACATAGATTCTTACTGATAGATTGCCTCCATTCAGAAAGGCTGCAATGTCACAGCTGAGACTGAGCACACATACTGAAGAATGGTAAAACAGACAAAGACTCTTTTAAAAGTCTGGAATATTATGCATTTAAGCTGAGCAAAGAATCCCAAATGAAGGTGCATTTTCATTAAGAAGCAACAAAAGTAGTCTAGTCACTGCAAAAAGGGATGATGATATTATGATTACAGAATGCAAAATATATTGACTGCTACCTAAATTTGGTGGTGGAATTCAAGCCAGGAATTTAGTAATATGGACCATAGGTCTTATCTTTTGAAATTCATAAATGCAATTATGAATCATTTACAAGAAACGTCTGGATATTCTGCATTTTATCAGGGCATTTTTTTTCCTTGCTTTCTTATTGATATTATGAAAACTAACAATCCTAGACACATTAGATACCATATGCAAACAGATTTAGAGGAAAAAAAAAATGATACATGGGTACTTGAGAATGGACTACCAGGATATTTAGGACCAGAGTCTAACATGAACTTATAAGCCTCAGTCTCACAGTGTGAACTTGAAAGCTAAGAATTGTGTGCCTTTTCTACCCATGCAACGCACAGTAACTTGTAATGGGTACTGCTCCTGTGATTGTTTCAGAATACTAAATCGTCATGAGACAAAACTCAAAAACAATCTTTGGCATAGGTACTAAAAAGCAACTGTATTCTCCTTGCTTTCCAGCTGGATGACAATCACAGATCTATGATAATTTTCATTATTTGCTCTCTGATTTGGTAAGTTAGAGACCTGAGAATCAAAGAACAGGATTCACATTATGTTCGGAAAAGACCTTTCATGACAAACATTGCAAGAAGGCACATCAAGGCTTCCAAAGAAACAGTAATACAAAAGTCCTGAAAAAAATTGCATGACTGGATGAAAGAATGTGAATTTAAGTCTGACAGCACTTATGTTCCTGAAAACTGTTTTCCCACCTGGAAATAAAAAATGAAAAGTGAAATTAAAGCAGGTAGCATGTACACAGATGTCTTGTGAAATACTTGAGAAATACCCCAACAGAGGCTGCATTTTACAGCAGACCTACCTTCCCAGCCACGGTAATCATCAATTTATGTATGAAAATACAGTAAGAGTGTGCAAAACGATTCCCTGAGATGATGATATGACTACTCAGCCACTCTCATCTGAACACAGTGCAGTACGAATCTTTGCTGTATGACAGCTGTTAAGAGCTAAGCTCTGGGGCAGGAAGGGTTATGCATACAACGAACCAGCAAGAGAATGTTTCTAACCCTGGGGCCCTGCAACACTTCCCGACCACACGCCCGCCCGGGAAGGCAAAGGCACTCGCCAGCAATGCCCTCCCCGGCCTGGGCCGCATTTTCCAGCGCCCAGGACCCATCCACCCCCCGCAGCTCCTCAGGGCAAAAGGCTTTTTCTCCTGACGCATTGGCGA